TGGAAATTCCAAGGAAGGAAGACAGATGAGTGGATGTATGGAGTTACCGAATGGCCCATTCCCAAAAAGTGGCCAGCTCAAAATCCCCAGTTTTCCCTAAAATGCAGATTCTTACCCTCAGCTCAGCACTGTGAGTAGGGCTGGGAAATTGGCATTTTTAAATGTCCTGTTAGTTCCACTGCATCATCAGTGACAACCCTTTGAAAAATTTAGACAAGGTGGGTGAGATACATGGGTTTATATTTCAGCCAATTTGGGGGGTTAAAGGGAGCTTTGGGGGAAGGATTTCTGGGAGGAGAGATAGAAGGGAGAAGCACTGGATGGAGAAGATCAGAACAGAGATTGTGGTGTGGAATGAGTAGGAGAATTTGGTTTAGGAAGCGATTTGGGGGTCAAGTTGAAGGGCCAGAAAATTGGGTGAAGGTGGAGAGTGATGGTGAGAGAGGCATCAGGCAGGAATGGCTCCCTTAAGGCCAATGGCCCCTGGACACTTAGAAAGCATTACTTCTCATCATTCCTCCTTGGAAAATGTCACAGGAGCAAATCAATAAAAGATGATTCGGCAGTAAGATCAAATTGGAAAATGGTTCTACAAAAATAAAAACCTAGAGGATATAAGTAGACTGTTAAAAATAAAATGAATTCATTTTATTTAATAAAGTATAATATTACTTAGATTACATATTATTAGATTACATACATTATAATGCTTTTAAAATTATATAATTTATAATATAATAATGTTATGACTGTTGGAGTAAATTTCAGCAAGTGGTCTAATTGTTTGCTAGTTTTGCAATGAAAGGGAATTTCATACTTATTTGGAATGCTTGCTCCTGGGCAAGATTTTTTTCTCTGAAGATGTGACAGTTGCAACAGAGTGGGGTGTGTGTTTAGACCCAACCTCAAAAGAAGTCTGGGTTTGGGCAGGAGAGAGGGTTGCTGGGTATCTGCCCTGTGACAGACATCTGCCAATATCCAGGAATCACAGGAGTACATTCTCGATTGAGAGCTATCAAGTAGGTAGGTTAGGCTAACTCATCCCATGATGACAACCTTAGAGAAAAGCTTAAAATATTAAAGATTTGATTTAAAGCAATCTCATCTTAGAAGGATTGCACAGAAAGTAAAATACATAGTCATTTCAAAATATAGGTCTACCAACAGAACTTTAGTATAAAGGTAACTTAAAACAACAGAAAGATAGAATCATTAACACCAGGGAAACGGAATGTCCCTGGAAGCTGCAGGACACCATCAGCGTGGACACTACACATTGTCTGTAGCACAGGATGCTGCAAGGTCACTGGCTGAAGGTCTTGCTTCCAGTAAGAACAGACCACATCAGTGGCCAAAGCAGTTTCTCAAGGGTCCTTGACCCTGAGCTGCTGGAAACACTGGAGCTCTGCACTGTGGCTACGCTTTGGCAGCAGGATGTGGGTCTCTACAGCTCCTTCTCTGCTTCCCCCTGACCGTCCTCTGAGTCTGCTTTTATTTAAATTCCCCGGGGCATCTCCTTGGGACTTGTAACCAGCACCATTCATGAACCTAATGGGCTCAAAAGGCGCTCTTTAAACTCTCTTGGGGATGTCTACAAAAAGAATTGTTCACAACATTTCTTAAACTAGGGATTTATATCTTCCTGTAAATTGACCTTGAAGGTGATTTCTGGACCCCACTAAGAAATGCTCTTCCTCCACCACCCCCCTCGCTCCCCACTCTACCAGCTGATGTTCCCTGAGTTCCAGATCATTGCCCTGGGGATAGAACCAAGGCAATGTGTCATGACCTTTTTCCTTCTGCCATGTTTTCATTCATCCATTAAATATGTATGCCCCCTGCTTTTTCCAGGCAAGGTGCTAGGCACTGGCAGCAGAGTAAACTATCTTTGCTCTAATGGACTTACAACCTCAACAAGCAGCTATACATGCTTATAATAAGAGGCAACTGTGAACGAAGTAAACTTGGGAAACTCAGTTGCCATCGAGTATCTGGGGGAGGCATAGGTGAGGTCTGTTACCCCTCCTATTAGTGCAAATCGCTGGAGGACTGGGTGGAAGGGACAGACCTCTGGATACTCCTGAAGTCTCTTTAGTTGACTCTGCCTCTTGAAGTGAAATCTCAACTTCAGCACACTCTACCCCCAATCTCTGCGTTCCCTGAGCTCTGCTGCTTCCACAGCTCCTGGCTCCCTCCCTCTGGCGAGAGCCCAGGACTGAGGCCCCTGGGGGGTCACCAACAGCAGAAGACAGCTCAGTGTGAGAAAGGACGGGACCCACCAGCCCCCCATACAAGCTCTGGTCTGTTTTACATGTAAATCTCCTTACAGTTTTCTGATGATGAGAATAAGCTATATGCCTTATGACAAATGTCTCTTCATTGTAACAAATCTCACACTTCAAAACATGAACGCAATTCAGTTGAGTGCATTCCCTTCTGCCACCATAAATGCTTGACCAGATACATTGCAGATACATTTGTTTATGTAAACGTATATCTATATATTGCCCTACTCTCATATTATTGTAGACTTTTTTCATTTGAGAATTTATAAGGCACTTTAGGATAGTACCTGTAAATCCTTCCCAGGGAGGAACGTGCCCTAATTTCTGTGAATTAATCCACCACTCGGGAGCATTTAAGTTCTTTATGTTACAGTCAGTCTTGTAGTGATGTCCTCCTTGTCCATATCTCTCTGTGTCCAGTTCATCTTAGAACAATGTTTTGGGGCTAACATTATATGTCTTAACCATGCTGCTTGTGTGGATGGACTGACATACTCTATTCCATTTACTTCTGGCATGTTCCCCTGGGGGAGCTATGTGCCACTGCTTCCCACAGTACACTCCAGGGCTTAGCTGGAATGTCTGTTGCTGTGATCTGTTTATTCACAGATTAATGACTTTGTTGTTGTAATTCTGTGATTTACTTAATGGGTATATAAACCAAAGAAGTATTTGGAGGAAAAGAAAGGATTATTATTTTTTAAAGTTTGTATATTTCTGATTTGTAGCTTGAAGTAAAATTTTTTTTTTTATATTTATTTATTTGTGCATACAGAACTGGGGTACAGGCCAGAGGCTCAGGCGCGGTGAGAGGCTTCACCAGAGACAGAGTGGGGAGCAGAACAGGCAGATCTACGAAGCACACTGCTGAGGGGAGCAGTGGGCGGGTCAGGAGAGGTCTGCCGAGCCATGTGGTCACCTCCGGGGCAGGCGGGAATCGAACTCATGCAAAAGTGGCTTAAGCTTCTTAGTGCCGTGCTTTAACCCGCTGCGCCACCAGGGAGAGCCCAGATGGTTAATTATTAACAAAAAATTTTACCAGGCCCTCCCTGGTGGCGCAGCGGGTTAAAGCGCAGCTAAAAGGCTAAAGCCACTTCAGCATGAGTTTGATCGCTGCCCCAGAGGTGACCCACATGACGTGGCAGACCTCTCCTGACCAGCCCGCTGCTCCCCTCAGCAGTGTGCTTCCTCTATCTGCCTGTTCTGCTCCCCACTCTGTCTCTGGTGAAGCCTCTCACCGCGCCTGAGCCTCTGGCCTGTACCCCAGTTCTGTATGCACAAATAAATAAATCTTTAAAAAATAAATAAAGTGGCTTTAAAAAAAATTAATCATATGATTCATAAACTCCACCAACCACATGGCCATGTTGCAATTTGTACTCACTTTGTTTTTATTGAGCTAAGATCGGTTTACATTGTTGTTTATAAAAACCAGATCCCCCCTTGCGGTGATGTTACGATAGCGTTCTCACTGCCAAAGCACCCACAGCCCACGATTGTGGTCTATTGTGCCGCACCCCCATTGTGTGCTTGCCTCTTCCTTTCCCCTCCCCCGCTGAATGTCTCAGTCTATAGTCAACTTTCAAGGGATAGTTTTTGAGTTTGCCTTTATCTGACCCTTGTTGGGTTTCTCTACATTCCACATGCAAGTGACACCATCTAGAATTCCTCTTTTTCCTTCTGACTTAGCTTTATCCCTTCCAGCTCCATCCATGTTGTTACAGATGGCATGAGTTCATCATTTTTGATTGTTGAGTTGTATTCCATTGCATATATTCACCCCATCTTGGTCTGTTCATTAAGTTGCAGTCACTTTTAACTTTTAACTGCATTGCCTGTTATCTCTGGGAAAACATCTCATAGCTACTTACTTTGTTTTTGAGTTGGATTATTTTTATCCTTAGAAAAATGCTTACAAACTAGAACATCTTTTCTGGATATACAGGCAATTTGTTTGATTTAAGTTGATTTTTTGCCCTTCTGTTCATGCTCATGAAACCACTGTAAGCATCTATAATGCTAACAGAAAGATTATAACCAACCTTATAGAAGAGAATCGATCTTAGTGATGAAATTAATGTTGTATATACTGATAGTGGTTTGTTGTGATGCACCTTTAAACTTACACAATGTTGTAATGCAATGTTACTTCTACAACAAAAATTTTAAAAAGGGAGAGTTAGAAACTTTGGAAATCACCTCTGTTGCCTTTGAAAATGAGATACTAGTCTATATACAAGCATCCTATCACTGTCTACATGAATAATAATAAAAGTGATGTTGCAGTCCTCCCGAAATCTATAGACCCTCTTGGTAACTATTATGGGTACCTTATAATGATTTTTGAATATACAGTCAGAAACACATTTCCATAGGGTGGACCATATAGGAATCTCTGCTTAAGTTGGAATGAATTAAGAATGAATTCACATTAAATTTATTTTTAAAATATTTATTAAGTATCAATTGTGTACCTCTCAGTTGCCTGGTAATTGCTGGGGTCATGGCCAAGCACAGAACTGCTGTTAAGAACATGTGTGCCTCTGGTCATTGAGCAGGACAGTGTGAGGTCAAAAGTTTCTTATGAAATCTACGAATTGTCTACATCTCTTCAAGGTTTGCCCACATAATTGATCAATTTTAGTTATACTGTATATCATTGGAAAACCACCACAAAGACTACAAAACGTCTCACTCCTGTGTTCTCTCTCCTAGGATATCAACGAGTGTATTCTTGAAAACTATCCTGAGTGCTCCAACCCCAGATTATTTTACATCATTCCATATTTTTGTGGACAGCATCCCAGATGCAGGTAACAACTAAAGGCTCGTGGTTTGTGCTGCGGGAGGAGAACAATGGCAGAGACACAACTAGAAGACCTTGGGAGAATTCTATGTCTGTCGACCTTCTGGAATTTAGCTACTACTTACTGATACTCTTTAAAGAGTTGCATGGCCTATAAATCATGTGATTAACAAAGTCTGGGAGCGGTCTTGGACCACCCCTAAATCTGTGCAATTGCAGTGCCCACATGTCTAATATTTGTTGTCAGGGTGGACAAAGCGAGATTTTGAGAGTTCTGAAAATCATGGCGAGGGTAGCCTGTCAATGCATCACAAGCACCCCCAAGATTAGGGGGTGCTTTTTTCCTATGTCATCCAGCATTCAGGCATGTGTGCCCACTGCCCGGCTGACTCTGGTCTAGCTAGCTTTAAATTCACTGTACTGGGCAAGTATAGAGTCTCCAGAAGGAATGGCAGCAACAATGACTATTGTCTTTGCTTGGAGGAAAATAATCCCTCTTACCAAAAGTGATAGTTTTCTCCAAAGTAAACAGACTAGCGAGTCAAAATGAAGCAAAGACAGCTGTTTCTAAATGCGGCTCATTTATTGTACTTTGTGACTACCCTAGGATTGTTACTTGGTGGTTGATTGTGGGCGTTGTCACTGCTATTTGGGGACTTTACCATCACACTAGAGTTTGCTTATAGTCAGAACTCTGGGACTAAAAGATTCTGGTTTTGGCTTCATCAGAAACTATCTGAGGTTCAGGACCTACCCCCACCTTGTCCACTATCACCCCCATAATAAATGCCTCCTGGTTCAAGGTCAGTGCTTCACATAGAAAATATTAGGCCCCAGAGAACTCACTGTCTCTCTTACTGAAGATACTTAAGAAATGAGATTTTAACTCCCTGGAGTATTTTTTTAATGATCTGTTTCCTAATCTTGGGGGTGCTTGTGATGCATTGACAGGCTACCCTCGCCATGATTTTCAGAACTCTCAAAATCTCACTTTGTCCACCCTGACAACAAATATTAGAGTTGTAGAAGGTTTATTATTACAATATTTCAAAAGGGAATCCTGACTTTCTTGACTCCCCCAAATGCTGATTTTGCCACCCTCACTCAGAGTCCAGCTTCTATTGAAGGCTTTTTCCCACTTGGGGCTTTTCCCACTCACATAGATGTTGTTGCCATGGAGATCTGCCTTCAGTGAGATGAGGCTGTTTTTCTTCTATAACTAAAAAAAAAAAAAGTTGACTTTGTACTCTGCGAAAGTGTCCAATGATGAGCAGACTTGACTTGACACCTATTTTGATCTCTACAGAAATGCTTTGTCAGTGAGTGTTCACATTTCAAAATGTCTGACTTTAGCAGTTCGTCCAATTCAACAGCCATCAAACCCCTTGACCAGTGTTTATGAGGCCTTTGCTGTCCATACCTGTATTCATCTCTCAACAAATGCTCAGGCAGGCTCACTAAGGTCAAGGCCCTAGCACCACACACAGGTGAGAGGGACAGAGGTCAGGTCAGGTGGCATGATGTCAGGGGCCAGCCTGACATTAGAGCTGGTCAGGGGCCAAACCAGGAGCTTAGGGCTGTTCCTCAAGGTAAGAAGGATTTAGATTTATGCAAAAGGGCATAATGGTGGTAAATAGGAGAGACTTTCAGCATGTCAGGCTGCTTTTCAGAATGAGTCTTTGACTTGAAAATAATTTTTATGTCCATCAAGGGAACCTGCTGAGTGGGCGCTTGAAAGGGCAAAATTGAACGTAAATGAAAACTTCCTGCTTGTGGGGATTCTTGAAGAGCTGGAAGATGTGCTGCTTTTACTGGAAAGATTTTTACCTCATTACTTCAAGGGTGTGCTCAGTATCTACAAAGACCCAGGTAACTGCTCATAAGCAACTCCTCCGCTTTATTTTGTGTGTGACTTGACTTAAAAAGGGATCGGGGGCCCTCTCTGGTGGCGCAATGGGTTAGGACGCAGCACTACAAGCTAGCTGCAGCCACTTCAGTGCAAGTTCAACCCCCAGCCCCGGAGTCGATCCACATGGCGTGGCAGACCTCTCCTGACCCGCCCGCTGCTCCCCTCAGCAGTGTACTTCCTCGATCTGCCTGTTCTGCTCCCCACTGTCTCTGGTGAAGCCTCTCACCACCCCTGTACCTCTGGCCTGTACCCCAGTTCTGTATGCATAAATAAATAAATCTTTAAAAAAAAGGGGGGGGATCAGGAAATATAGGAGTGGGATCACTTTTTCTCTTGATCACAGGGACTTCCTGGCTCTCCCATGAAGGGTAGAACCACGAGAAGCAGAAGCCATACCTTGAGCTTCAGGTCTGAACATGGCCTTGCCATGTTTTACAGTGTGGTGGCGCCTCTTCTCCCTTTGGCAAGTGAAAAGGGCCACAGTTCTATGGGCCTTGTCCTGAGCAGGTATCTGGGGAGACCCAGTGCTGGGTATGAGCATGTCAGAGCCTGTAATGGAGGCCTGTCACTGAGGAAGCTTCCCTGGCCCTACTTCATTGGACAAAGGCACTCCGGCGTACACAAAATCCTAACAATAGACTAGAGAGAAAAGCCAATTGAAGATACAATTATGATTTTCTAACAAATGAAGTGGTTTCCAAATAGAAGCAAAAATAGAATGCTGCAAAGCAATTACCAGGCTTGCCCATAGTGTCACTGTAAATATAATTACTTTCAGAAACCCATCATTTACTTTTCTCATTATTATTTTATCCTGAAAGACAAACAGCACTGTTTGTTTCTCCCCTGTTCTCCCTAATCTACTGCCACCACAAGCCTTGCATACTTATTCACTAATCTGTTTATTGTTAGGCTTTGTTGTCCTGAGAAAGGAGATATTCTGCCTTGTAGAAACAGGAGCATCAGAAAGCCCCCCTGCACCCCAATGCAGCCTGCTGTCTCGCAGTCTGAGGCCAGCAGATCTCGAGCCACACCCGCATCATCGGCAGGTACTAGTGGCCAGGTAAACTCATCCTGTGCCATCAGATGACCCTCCCGTCCCCCACCCAGTGACTTGCTGGCTGGTGGAAGAGACCTAAGTTTCCCAGTGCTCTCACTCAGAGATAAATTCCAACATTTCCACATGCAGGGACAGGACTGAGAACCTCAAGGTCGTGCCGGTTTGTCTCCTGGAGAGGAAGTGTGGTTTGAATAGCTAGAAGCATAATAAACACTAAGTGCTTGGCTTTTGAGACTAAGCCTCCCTTTGTCCTTCCAGCAATAAGTAATTGCAGAATTAACTTTTTTATTAAGGTAACATTTGTTCCTCGTACTGTATGATCAGAAATTGAGTGAAAGAGGTTAAGGGGCCCTACTGTGCCAGATTTTAATTCTTTGAAACAAAATAGACTTGGGTCTTTGTGCAAGGAGGGATTTTACCTCACATTAGATTCCACTGAGGAAATCTTAGTCGTTGGCATTGCTCCCTTGCGCTTTATCTTGTTGTGTTGTGTGCATTTGGTGTGCCTATGTGACATGTACGTGTGTGTGCATATGCATACTTCATACATGGGAGAAGCCTGAGTCCTGAAGGCACGTAGTTGCTGAGTCAGATGAATGTGCTCCAGTCTGGCATCTGTTGCGGTGAGGCCACAGCTCACACATCATCCACCTGGGTCAGGAGCCAACACCACTCAGGATGCCACAGCCTGACACACCCAAGGTCACCATCAGGACAGGGGCCTGATGACATTTTTGTCTTTGTTTTTCTTAAATACAGATAAACCACAAACAAAAAGTTTAACCCACACACTCCTGTGGTCAGGCTAAGTCATTTGACTTGCCAACTAGTTTTTACATTTCATGTGTGGCTTCTCAGAACTGAAAGTCTGTGTGCCATGACCTATAAGCACGTAATTAAAGTGAAGCTTGTTTCTGGAAATCTAGCTACTATGAGCCCCTTTGCCTGCATCCACAGTCTTTAGGCACAGCAGGATGGTACTGATGAATCTCTAGAAACTTTAAGCAAAAGTTGAGAATTTCTTTATGTGTTAAAATCACGGTGTCATTGAAGGTCAAAAGAAAGAAAGAAATCGATTAACTACAGAGAATATGTGGGATGGGAACAGTTCTTAAATGAAAACCGCTCACAAACACTTGCCAAAACCTGAGCTGTTCCGGTTGAATAGCGACACCTATCACCCAGACGTGGAACTACGTCACCTACTGTTAACCCATGGTCATCCTCCTGGTCCAACACTTGAAAGCCTGGTCCAAGCCTTTTCCTCTGTAGTTTGAAGTTTCCATTACTAGCATCACATTAGTATTCATCTCTAACTTGTTTCCACAACAACTGTACACATCTCAGCCACAGTAGGGAACTTACTAGACTTTATTTGGCTTGCCTTGAGAATCTGGACACCAACTATTACAAAGGAAAAGTATAATTCCAAATAAATGACTCATATACTGACTTTGAGGATTTAAGTTCATTCATAAATTGACTGTTTTGTTTTGAAAAAAATATTTTTGCTTAAATTTCTTTCTTTTTTTTTTTAAAGATTTATTTATTTATGCATACAGAACTGGGGTACAGGCTAGAGGTGCAGGGGCAGTGAGAGGCTTCACCAGCATCAGAGTGGGGAGTAGAAGAGGCAGATCTACTGAAATTCACTGCTGAGGGGATAAGTAGATGGGTCAGGAGAGGTCTGCTGCGCCATGTGGGTCAGCTCCCTGGTTGGGGATTGAACTTGAGCTGAAGCAGCTGCTGCTTGCTTCATAGTGCTACACTTTAACCTGTTGCACCATCAGGGAGGGCCTTACTTAAATATTTTTCTAAACGATGATGATAGAGTAAAAATTTGAATTTTTTTTATTTGGCACAAGTAATAACTAAACCTTTCATTAGGAGTATATTAGTGTATTCTGAATTTACTTGCATTGTAGTATTCAAATATGAGGACATTTACATGGAAAACAATAACAAATATGTTGAATGGAAAGTTTAGTATGCTACAGGAAAAGTTCGAGTTTTCATGTCAGAATGAGTTAAAGCAAATACTAAATGAGGGCCCTCCCTGGTGGCACAAGGGGTTAGGACGCAGCACTGCAAGCTAGCTGCAGCCGCTTCAGTGCAAGGTGACCCACATGGCACGACAGATCTCTCCTGACCCGCCCGCTGCTCCCCTCAGCAGTGTACTTCGTCAGTCAGCCTGTTCTTCTCCCTACTCTGTCTCCAGTAAATCTTCTCACTACCCCTGCACCTCTGGCCTGTACCCCAGTTCTGTATGCATAATTAATCTTTAAAAAAAAAAGAACAAATACTAAATGATTCAAGTGTGGCCCATTTATTACAAAGAAAGGTTATTTTAAAGGTAAAAACCCTGAGTTGTGAGTTAGAACAGATTTCTGTCCTCTTCCTGCTCACAGACCCCAGGACCAATGTTGTTTAAAGACTGATCTTTAAGGCCTTTATCATGATGATTCTAAAGTGTCAAGTATAATGTTCGAAGGCTTCTGATTCTACCCTTGATTGGCTAGCACAAATATCAGGTGCTTACCTCCCCCCCCAGATAACAGCTATTAAGCAGTTCGATTGCTCTAGTAATTTCTAGCTTCAGTTACGCAGCTCCCGCACCGATGGGACAGGACCGATTCCTCGCTGGAGGTTGTTGGTCCATCTGTTTCAGGTGTGTGAACAATTCCGTCTACTTCACGGGTTTTCTGGGAGACACACACTCAACTATGTCGTCTAAGTCCTTAGCCCACGCTTGAATATATGGTGCGTCCAGTATTAGCTATTTGCTTGTCAGCTGTGTCTCGGGACAGAGACAGACAGGGCTTGTGTCTGTAAGGAAGAAGGATTTCAGGCTCTGTTCGTGGCTTCTGGTCAAAAAAAGAGAGAAGGAAAGGGTATGATGAACCTTAACTTAATACACCCTGCCTGGGACTATGAAATCATATACCTTTAGGAGAAGGGTCGTAGAGAATGCGTTTCCTGGAAGTATTGTTCTGATGATGCACTCAGGAACCAAAAAAGTCATTGAGATTTTTTTAATCATCTTTTTTTGTACCTGAAGTCTGAGCGCAAATTTCAGGGAGTTGAGTTTTGAACTTTAAATGTGACTGATACCTGTCACCATTAAACTCGTGCTGAATGTTGTCTTTCAGACTACTATGTATTACTGACTTAAAAGTTACAAAGCAGGTGTCCAGAGGTGTAAAGGAGTTTTAAGTAAGTCTCTGAGACTCCAATCTCAGAAAAAAAAAACTTTAGTTTTCCAAATGCTGCTGGCAGGCTACTTCAGAAAGCAAGATGCTAAATTAAACGTTTCCAGCAGGTGGCAGTGTCTCTCCATTTTTTCCAGGGAGGGCACGTGGTTTCCTTATGCCTTTGCCTGAGACAGGAGTTTACATAATGCTTGAACACAGATGTACAATTATGCCCATTTGGGAACCTAAAAAATGTGATCCTGATTATCAAAAGAATTCCAAATACAGTTGATTACAGTGGTACAAACTGCATTATATGAAAATCCATGGGGATGGGAGAGAGGTAAAAACCAAGTTTTGCAATCAAGTAAGTTTATGTGAATTAAAGAAAAAGCACATATGTGTGTGTACATGTGTACGTATGTATACATACACACACCCCGTCCAGTCTGGTTTCATAAATGCAACCCATCATTCCATAGTGTCTGCGTTAAATAGATGCTATTTTTCATTTATATCTTTATGTTCCCCTTCTAATGCTTTTGTGCTACAAGAGTCATTTGCTGTAAGAAAAACAGTTTTGGGACCTCACAAAGATACAACTGATGATCAGGAGGAACTCAAGCCATCCAGCAATAGAAACCAGTGAAGTTGTTAAAATAACTGATTATTCATAAAAATACCAGCCACTTTCTAATGGTTCATCTGT